CGATAAATATTTATATATATCGACATATATTTAAAATGTCGATTTGTAGAACGTAAATGAGTGAGATAAAATGAACGGAGGAAAGTTACCTAATATTGTACTCAAGTTATATAGAGATATGATGCTAATTATTTCTTATCTAACTAATATGTAATGCTTAAATAATTTAATTTAAACACATAATTTATATTAATTAGGCATATTCAGAACAGGAAATTCCTAACAAGTAAGCAGTTGGTATTAGCACTTTCTGTGTTAATTTGACATATATGATAGGTATTTTATTAATTGCAATTATAGTTATGCTAATTTAATATATGTACCTACATTTTATCGATTGTTATAAATTTATAATTTAATTTAAAAATATAAAAAATTTTGTTGTAAAACCCATTTTATATATTGTCTATTAATTAAACATCACGTTCTATTTTAATTACATATATTGTTACAAAATGAACATATAAATCGAATTATATAATATAAGATGTACCCGCAGTTTCACCCGCATAAAATTTATAGCCTATGTGTATAAGCTACATTACTGTAAAGTTAGTTTTTTCATGAAAGAGTAACAAACATACATTAATCCCTCCCATCCATACTCACAAACTGTTACGTTTATAATATTAGTAAGATTTTCACAACCCTTATACGTGCAGATAACTAGAATTAAATTTCATATGACAATATCGGTCCCAGACAAATACCGATAACAATAATTATAGTGTTGTATTAGGGAACATCACTATTGATGTTAGATGGGTGGAAATCAACAGGTCATGTCGACCATATGTCGTCACTATCGTCCGTGGAGCGCTGTATATCTTGTAATGTATGACATCCACGTCTGACAAATATCTGTTTGTCTATACGTCGATTACTGTAACAGATTTGGGTATGATTTTCACTAAAGTATTATTGTATTCTGAAAGGTTTTATAATTACAAAACTTATATGAGTACGAAACCACGATCTCTGTTAGTCTTATAATAAATACCTACCAGAGTTAAAAAAGCTTAAGTACTATCCCTAGTTAATATATTTCATAAAAATATCTAATAAAATTTAGTTGTTCCTAATTCAAAATAAGAAAAAAACCGTATGAAATGCTCAAACACCGGTATGTATAACAATTTGACAGTACATTGTTTATTCATGATCCGGTAATTACCGGAATTGTTTCCGGTACGATAGAATTACGATACACAAGTTGCACGAACGTGGGGTGAACGGTTCTAGTAGTACCCACGGAAATCACCCTTAATTATATTATTTTTAAAACTTACATTCATTTCTACATCAATATTTTCATAATTATGTAGTGGAATTTAATAAATTTACTATTTATTCGTCTTTCGCAGTAATTGACTATTTCATAAAAAGTGAATGCATTACGCTCTAAAGATTTCCGGGTGAAGTAGAAACAATGTCGCGAAAGACATTAATTATAGTAGTCATAAAATTGCTTTACATACGTTATATAAGAGTATATAAGAGTTTATATCAGTTCTCACCCATGACAGCAACTCTGTCTAGCTTAAAAACTGTATACTATATGTTTTTTTTTTGTTTGTACTGGATGAGCTCAAACAATACCTAATTTTATCGTATTAGTTTGTATTTTATTTTCAAGAAAATTAGAGAGCTCTACTATAAATTCGCCCGTGTGAAACCGGGGCGATCGCTAGTTAAGGAATAAAAATCTCAAAGTTGGTGTTTACCTATTTCATACCGGCATGCCTCTTGTAATAAAAAAGCAACATAAAGAACCGGATACACCGGAACAATTCCGAGACGGTTCAGCGACTCACACGTACAGTACGCCCAATTGTTAACTAATGTTCTGTAGGTATGGCCACACATACGGACATATAACTTGAGTAGCCATCATTTAAATACATGACGCAGTAACATTTTTACATACAGAAGTGTCTATAATACGCAAATCTTATTTATATTTTTTAGTTAATGAGCTGAATTTCACGCACTTTTGAATAATCTATATAGAGAAAATGCGTGAAAAATAAATAAAACAATATCAAAAAATATGCACACATGAAAAGATAAGTTCATGCTTTTTAAGTAGGTTAAATATCACTGTTTATTGTTCAACTTGTGTGGCGATTTGTACACATCTCGCAATCTCTGCATAGTGTTGCAATCGTACCAAAATGACCATATATTAGCATAATAGTTACAGTATGAACAGGTATATATTTATTATTAATTTGGACACTTTTATATTAATGAATATAGACAAATGCTTAAACAGCTATCATTGCAATGAAGTTAAGGCTTGTGTCACAGGAATCAGATATCTTTGAGTACAGAAATTTTAACTTAGTACAGGATCCACTTCAACTGGTTATAATATTGTATAATAATAGCAGTTTTTTATATATAATATAGATCTGTACATTACTTTCATTCATCATTAATTATCTGATGAAACATTTCATTGAGACTTCTAGTAACCATGAATGATATGCTTTTTCAGTTTTCTTGACATAAATTAAAACTACTAAACATGTTTTCAAATATTAAATAAACGTTCTGCTGTGATGATAATCGTAATAGATCTGTATTTTTTTTATTTTTTGTAGTAGTCTAAAAATATATTCGTATTCTATCTAATTACTTTCTTTTTACATTTTCACGACATGTTATTGAAATATCACATAAATAATTAATGTTTGTCATTCATAAAATTCATTTATACGATAATAGTTATTTTCTAATATTTCAAATTGCAAAATCTAATAGAAAGTTGGACATAATCATGTTTTCCAAATAAACCAGTTCCACGGTGACACAAGCAGGCGAGCCGTGACGATGGTCGCAAGTGGTTGGTCACGCCATCATCGGAAGTCATCCGCCATTGATATCATCTCATTGTGCCACGCAAATTGCAGCCGGATGTTGCCAGAGACGGGAGATGAACCTGTGTCCATTACCCGAATCTTCTACCTCACTGACTCTATGCTCTAACTAGTTTGAGGGGAAATCCTTTTATGTAAAATTAATAGTTAGGTCAACGTAAATATTTATGTTAGTCTATAAAGTATTGATATTATAGATAGGTTATTTAGTAGCCTTAAATAAATAAGTCAAGATTGAGGAATAAAAAATGTATAAAAAAAATAATACTGTACCTTCACGACGGTCATTCTAGATAGTGTGGTCAGAAATATGACCATTAATCATTAAGAAATAAATAATAATAATAATAATATGCGTGACGAACGCATTACTTCCTCTTTTCACTGAAATATAAGAAACAATGACATATCAACTGACCAAGCTGCCAACAACATCTGCTCGTAAAGGTACGAAAGGTACGAATCTCTGTAGAGTTCAGATGAATCACCAAGAAACAAAGTGGAAAATATGTAATTCTATTTTGAACTTGCACAGTTTGTATGAAGATTTTAATATTCTTTAAGAAAGTTTCAATCTCATCTTACATTATCATTTACATACGACTTGGTAGAGGTTTTACGCCTGATCCTGTAGTATCGATATTCCCTATGGCTGTAGGTCTTCCTTTTTAATAGCATATGTATGACTAAGTGATTTGACTATTGTTGAAGCCTCCTGTGTTTATTGAGTATTACTTACAAATTTACCTTTTTCTCTTATTCAATCCGTCATAGTTTTTTTTCCAATTAGTCAAACGAGTATGTGCCTCTAGTTGAAAACGATACAACAATTTCGTACCGTACCACGATGTGAACACGCGCCCTAACAACGCGTGTCTCACAGAATTATTTCTGACTTTTTTAGCTTCATTGTACTCTATGAAAACGGAGTCACGCTCCAAAAGGAATTAATGTTGGTAGCCAGCCTTTGTCATGTGTACATATACTGTTTATCTACACTTTTTGATGACCAGGTGAGGTCAGATTACTAGCATTAAATGGATACCTATCTTTTTTCTCATTATAAGCACAGAACATTACATTCACTAACGACTCGTCTCGACATCGTATGTGTGCAATTACTGTACAAATGTATATTTATATTATATTTAATGTATATTTTAATAAAATATAGGCCATGTCACAAGATAATTTATCTTTTTAAATGAAGAAATAAAATTAATATCTGTTAAGTAGTTTTTGGAAACGTTTATAATTTCTTAAATTAACTACTAACTGAAAAGCTTTCACTCTTCAGATATAATAAATTATTGTACAAACCTAGTTATATCTGTAATGACTACCATGAAGCTATCGTACTTCTACTTAAAGTATTAGATAAGTACAAATATATAAATTAAATTAGTTAAATAAATTATTGTTCTAATTAGAATACTCCAAACAACGAATAAGAATCTACAAAAAGCTATAATACTTTAGCAGCGTTATGTTGGTCTTTATTATATCTTACACGGTAGTAGATCATAAAAGCTCAGTAAAAAACTGAACTATCAGATTTACATATTTATAGATTAGGTATATAAAAAAATATGTATTCAATTACTTTATGTATCTATGAAAGGTACCTATATACTTACTATAATATATGTCTTTATAAAAGTGATCACTAATCTGAGAAACAACGAAAAACATTTTATCTTTAGCCCCAATCGCTTTCCTTGTATTAAGCCAGTAATTTTGTGATATTGCTCTACATTTATAGATCGTCGACCATTACGAAAATATTTAGAACAAAACAATAATGCTTCTAACTAATAAGAACTATTATAAAACTTGACTTTTGAGGTAGATTGTTATCTCAAAATCAATAATCTAATAGTAATGTGTTGGAATTTTATACATGTACGGGTATTATCAGTAATTACTACGGTACTCTACTTCCTGAAATGAAATCTAATAAATTATTTTATATCATATCATAAAGGAAAGTTGCTAGTATAATTTTGATGTATGACATATTCATAAGATTGTTTCGCTGTAAGTCATGGAACGAGCGCGCGCGACGCGCAAGCGGCACGCTAAGAACAGGTGTGATCGTGCTCCCCTCCTTTCTTGCAGAGCGGGCGATGCGGCGCGAGTAGCGCGGTGGGGCCCTGCCCGCCGCCCGCACGGCCAATCCCGGCGCGCCTCGCCTATGATGTCATCGGAGGAGGAGGCCGACTCACACGCGCCCTACTCGGATAAGCTGCTGAAGAAACAGAAACGTGCGAGACAGCGCGTTGACGCCGGTGAGCCGCGCAATTCTTATTCGACTCTCGCGACGAACGGACCCGCGCCCGCGCGCGTCGTACACATGAGCGGAGGACTTTACGGCGCCATCTTCGAGGGCCGCCAACACTTCGGCCTTTTCGGTCCGGGCTACCCGCCTGCGGAAATGTTAAACGAACTGCTTGGGCGAACGCCTATGCAGGACGACGGTGAAGAAGCAACTGGTGCGGATTTAACACACCGTGTACTTCGGGATATTCTACAAAATCGCAAGAAAGAGTTATTGAGACTTTCTCCAGACAATAACAACGTACTTGCGAATAATAATAATGACGAGCCTAAAGAGAAACGGTCTCCAGAGCGACCTATTTCGCGGGACTCTCGACCTGACCTCGACGATGCTCTTTTAGCATTAGACAGTGCCGGTGACTCGCGTACTTCACCACCTCCTGGGCCTCCATCTTCTGAAGCTCTGCTAGCTCCGAAATCTGAGCCTGAGGATCGTGACAGTGACGCTCAACGTTCTTCCCCGCGACCTCTCGATGTGAAACGTGCTCGTGTTGAGAACATTGTGTCGACTATGCGTGCTAGTCCTGCACCTCAACAGCCACAAGTGAATGGTTGCAAGAAACGAAAATTATATCATCCACAGCAGCACGACGGTGCAGCGGAGCGCTATGGTACTAGTCATGGCAGCAGTGCACAGACAGTAACGGATGACTCCGATGACGATGGTGAGAAACCACCTATTCAACAAAAATTAGTAGAAAAGAATGCTTTAAAATCACAACTTAGAACTATGCAAGAGCAACTTGCAGAGATGCAAGAGAAATATATGCAACTGTGCAATCGAATGGGACAAGAGTCAGAAACAATCGATAATGATGGTGCTTCTAGTGATATAGAACAGATTGATGATCCTGTACCAAAGTCAGAACCAGCGTCACCAGTGAAAGAGGTACCACCTCCTATACAAAACAGTGCTACACCTAACATGCTTTCGCAAGTTATGAGCAAAATGATGTCGGCAAAAATGCACGTCCATGCAGCAGCTCATCAGCACCTTCCACCTGGGTTTAATGGTTCGCTACCGATGATACCTCCTCTACCTCCAAGTGATCACATACATCCACCTCATCCACATCCGCACTTAAACAGTGCTGCAGCAATGTATTTAAATGTTAGTCAAAAACTATTTCTAGAACAACAAGAGGCTCGTATGAAAGAAGTATCTGAGCAACAACAACAACACAATAACCAACAGCAGAGGTCTCTGTCGAACCAGCCCTCACCACAGCAGCGGCAACTTGGTCCAACACCAAAACCCCCGTTGTCTTCAGAACTAGCTGAGAGGCTCGACGCAATTAGAAATAGTACAGGCCCTGTCGGTCCGGTGTCCGGTGCTGACCTCGAGGGATTAGCGGAGGTGCTAAAAAGTGAGGTTACAGCTTACTTGGTCAGTCTCATTGACTCTATTGTTACACGTTTTGTGCATCAGCGACGAATAATTGGGAAACAATCGGAGGCTGCAGCAGCAGCAGCGGAACAACTCAACAAGGATCTGATGCGAGCAACTAGACTACTCGAGATAAAGTCTCCGACACCGAAGCCACAGGAGCGGCCGTCAGGGCAATTATCAGGTAACACACCCGTCCATCATACTGGCGCGCCTAATGGCGTCCCGTTTATTACACATAATCAGATGCTGATGAGCCAGATGAACGGCCCCCGCGCGCCAGGTGGAGCGGCATTCCCGCTGCACGCCGAGGCGGGCGGGCCCGTGCATGGCACTCATGTGCGGCCTCCGACAGGCATGTTCCAGACGCCGCCAAAACCGCTCGCCAACCTCTACGGGTCCATGAACGGGCACTTCGAACGTGAGCCGAATCCAGAGCAGAACGAGGCACTCAGCCTCGTAGTCACGCCAAAGAAAAAGCGGCACAAGGTGACGGATACACGAATAACGCCACGAACCGTAAGCAGAATTCTCGGAGAGGGTGTAGGTCACTCCCCCGAGAGCAAATTCCCAGAGTCGCCATCCCCGCGGCCGTACCCTGGCGGGATGGCGTTACCTACGTCGGTAGCGATACCTAATCCGTCGCTGCATGAGAGCCAAGTGTTCTCACCGTATTCACCGTTCTTCACGGCGGGAGGCGGACTAGCGCGGTCACCACCGGCGCCGGAGCGCGATTCTCCACCACTGCCGCATGCACCTGTTCTGTTACATCCGGCACTGATGGCAGCAGCGCACCACGCGTCACCCGACTACCTGAGGCACCATCACGCACACGTGCCTCATCATGGTGGCGCCCCGCATCATCCGCACCACATGGATACGCAAGACCCTCATTCAGACAACAATTCAACAGACTTGCCTTACGATGGAGTCCAGCCTACTATATCCTTTTCAAATAGATAAATGACATTAATACATTTTATTTCACAGCTTGAAAATCAAAGTGAACTCGACACAATAAACGAAATCCGAGCTAATTCGACTCATAAACCCCCGACCGCAAACACACAGATATCTTATTTCTGTAGTATTTAACCTTACGACTGCCACCGCCTGTTTCCTACTTAGTCGTTACGTGTTACGACTTTTGAAGCTCTACAACTGTTGCGGTCTCTACATTTTCCTCGACAATTTTTAATAGCTACGTTATAGCATTAGTCGGTTAGTGTTGTATCTTTAGGGAGAGATTTTCTTAGATATTAAAATTGACTTGTATATCTTGACTGGAAATCTAATTTATACAATTTCAAGTCTACCACTTCTTTTTAATTCATACTTTTAACATAACATATAAATATCAATATATCTAGAATTGTCTATGCTCGTAATATTTTTTTCTGATTTCAATAGACATATAAAATATACCGACATCGGCTAAGGCACGTTATAAGATTAGAAATGTAAATGGATTAAGTATTTATGGTGCTTCGTTACCTACGATATGCCTACGACATAAAGAATCTAGAGACATATCTACCTACGATCAGATAATATTTATTATACCTATGTATAAATTAAGACTTACTGTCCAATATATATTTTAATACTACAATAAAACTATTGTTACTTAAATTGTCGCGAAAGTAAAATGCAAAAACCATGAAAGAAAATCCTATACAGTATTATGAGAATCATGAAAAGAACATACCTATACTCTCAAACATAATTTATATATAAATAGTTAGCAACATTGAAATCCATCCTTCTAACAATAAAACTCTAAATTGCAAACATGTAATAATTATGTATCTACAACAAAAAAGTATCTAAAAATAATGCAAAAAACATTATTATCAGTTATTATTTATAAAGTATATAATTTATTCTAATCTTCGTTTGCAATATTACCCGTATATAATCTCGTTTGTTTTGATGATTAACTGCAGTTTCCTGGATATGTATTCGTTAAAATTATCGTCACCAACGATAAATAACTTCGATATAGTTTATTATACTTCGGTTATCTCGGGTTAATTTCGTTAACTGATTTGTTTTTCGGGTTTGATTCGGTTCGTTAATTAATAGGCGCAACGAATTACCACGTCAAAACATTTAATTAGATTAACCGATGAAATTTAACTGCTATCGAGTCGCGGGTTCGATTTCCAAAGATTGCAACCATTTTGATTATTTGGTTTGTAAAAAAATATATTAAATTCTGTCAGTACACATAGTATCAGCTCAGCGTAGTTTAGCTTGTGTGAATTGTCCAAAAATGTTTACAACACTTGAATTTGAAAGTTAAACAGCTAAAGTTAATTGCTATAATATAGAGTAACTTATTAATTTATAACTATCGATGCGTCTTTACTTGATATGGAATAAGATATTTTTCTGAAGTAAAATAAGATCTATAAGTATATTTATTTTCCATTTATTCACAATTCTACAAGATTGATACACAGAGAAAATTAAAAAAACGTAATTATTGTGTCCTGTTACTTTGATGACGATGTCCAATTTGTTTTTATTATCATTCTATAAGATACAGATAATTTTATTATGTGTATAAATTTATAAGCCAACATTACAAATACAACCTTAACTCCACTGCACTCCTCCACATTAACGCCGATGCATCTTCGTAAAGCGAAGCTGATGTTCTTCTGGGTGCGGTACCCGAGCTCGGCGGTCCTCAAGATGTACTTCCCGGACATCAAATTTAACAAGAACAACACAGCTCAACTTGTCAAGTGGTTCTCAAACTTCCGGTAAGTGATTATTTCATTAGTACTCGTTTATTTGTAACCAGTGGTCGAAATTTGACCATTATAATTAAGTTAAATTATATGTGTTAAGGCTCTATTGTCAAAGACGATACTTCTATAATTACATATTTCCCAAAACACTGTTAATTTATAAATGAATTTGTTATGGTTATGTTTGTCATTCAGTAAGACTACAGACAAATTATATTAAAGACAAACGATATTAATCTACTCTCAATTTAAACACAGACTTTATCAATAAACAAAAAAATATAAATGTGTGTGTGTCAAATACAGTAATGTGTGTAATGTTTTTTATTAATTTAATGTACTTTTATGCTTATTTTAACAAAAAATATTGGCATTCTGTACTCCACCTTTATATAAACTATAAGTGTATAAGTTTACGCGCAATTTTCGTAAAACGGGATATAAAGATTTTGCTTCACGTATTTAATATTTGGATTAATTTGTTGAGTAATAAATATTTCAATACATTTTAGTAGCAGTGGGTTCGTAATGAATCATTTTATAATTAATATAGTAGACTCCTTTGTTATTTCTGTATTAGATTCTCACAAGTAAAATTGGTTTGTTGGTAACTAAATCCTGAATATAATGACTAATTATTGCTTTCGATGGCAGTATCATATATATACACTCATATATCAGTGTCACGGCCCATTATTGGTATATTAATTCTGTTTTATTCATTATTATTATATATTATTACAAATATAAATGACTTATTTATGTTTGTGGGTTTGATTAATATTTATATAAATAGATATAGATAAATATTTGGAAAGGTTAGTATATGTTACCGGAAAATGATGTTATTTCAAATAATATTTTGTTTGTTATTTTGCTATTTCTGAAATTATTTTTGATATTTTGCGGTTTTATCAGAATAGGTACCTAATAATTAAGGAAACTTTCTATTAATTTGTTGAGTGAACTCATACCTACATATTTAAAACGCAATAGTTACCTATACACTACACTAAAATTAGGGATAATATCGGAACAGTGATTGGGAGAGCCACATATCGCTTTCTAGGTCGCTTCGTCTGTACTAAAATAAAGGCCAAGGTAGCCCCTCAAAAAAGAACTGGCCTTTAAAAAAATTATTACACAAAATATAAAATTGGATTTATATAATTCTTTTTAATAACCGATAAGACTTTAGATCGACTAGGTCTTGGTTGCTTTACTTATTGGTTTTTTTATTAACTTAATTGAACAGGTAAAGATAATTTTTTGTGAAATTAAATTTGGATTTCGTCTTTAAAATATATTCATTTAAAGACGAAATCCAAAATTATCTTGACGTTTATAATTCGCTTAAATTTATTAATACGATTGTTTAATAGCAATCCCATCTTATTCCGGTTAGTCCATAATTTAATAATAAAGTAAAGGGTGAATTCACTATTTCCTAATTAACGTGTAGGGGTGGCAACCCTTAAATGTTGATTTGAATCGGATGAAGGTATGTCACAAACATATCTCGTCTATTATAGTTTTAGTGCATTTTATAATTATTAGATTCGTTACGATACGTTACGACTGCTAACCGTATTGCATAATTTTTAGGTTACTTTTGCTTAAATCATTGGCGCATTACAAAATGTTATGTAGTGGTCATTTTACCTTAGGTACCTATGTGATTGTGTACCTATGCAATTAACAATAACTACAAATAAATAATTAATATACATGCTATTGTTATTATGTTTTGGAATAACGAGATAGTAAGGTTATAACATTTGTGCGTAATAAAGCTTTTAGTGGAAATTATTTTAGCCTAAATTTGTCATTTATTTGTTTTAATACTGATAACATACACATCTGACCTCGGTGGTCCAGTGGTTTTGCACAACGCGTCTTTTCTAATGGCCGTGGATTCGAATCTTCGCTCGATGCATAAAATTGTATTCATGAGTATGATTGCTAATATCGGTCTGAGTGATTTTTATGAATATTTTGCATTTACAAACAAAAATTATATAAGTATAGATATACTTAAATACTTTTCAGTTATCTAGTACCTACCGACAGCTCTAATTATAATCTCTTTTATATATAGGTATCTTTATAATTTCCATATTCCACAATTTTTTATACTACTTATTGGCTCAATTTATTAAAAATAAAAAACGTCCCACATAGCTGTCTGATAATATTATATTGTTTTATATGTGAAAGGATTTTTAAAATGCGTAAAGTATTATTTGAGTTTATTCATTACAAACAAAGAACCAATACTTTCCTACGTATAATAACAGTTTAGATAGAATGTGTCACTAGAAACGATAACACATACATATTTTTAAATTATATAAGGAAATGACAAATAACAGTGCCTCTACTGTTATTTGTCATTTCCTTATATAATTTAAAAACATGTATGTTTTATCGTATCGTACAGGACTGTCGTCCTTTAATTTGCTGCGTAGGAAATAGTCTACAACTGGGAAAATTACATACTTATAGAAAAACACTTGCCTATTCATAGAGGGAAATATAGAGACAAATGAGTAGTTATTACGTAATGTGTTTGGAGAAATAAAGTCAAGAAGAAGGGAATGGATGGGTTCATAAAATGTCTCAAAAAATCGAGTATTACATTCAGCTATTCTTCTGACTCAAACGCAAATTTTATTTATCTCTACTTTTGAAAATATCTTCATTTTTAATTTGTTGTATATTGCGTGCATTTTTAACGTAATTCCGCCCGCTGCGTATGTCTGTTATTTATATATTTGAGACCTCAAATACTACTGAACTGATTTTTCTGCGGATTTCACTCATCAACAGAGTAATTTCTGAGGAAACCTTCCTTAGAAAAACGAACTGAAATATCACGCAAAGTCGGTTCGGGTCGCTAGTATTAACTATAAACTTAAACTTCGTCTATAGGGGTGTGTCGTAGGTCTATTCGCGTGGAATATGATATTAAATTACTTTGTCATAATAAAATTTATTTATGTTGACATTAAAAAATATATGAAATTTTCAAATTACCTACTAAAAGTATTTAATTATTGTTACGTAGCGATTTGTAACCTATTAAACTTTCAAAATCTTTGGTTACGTCCAAAATATTACAGTTAATACTTAGATAAACAGTTTAAGTATTAATTAAAATAAATTTTGTCTGTTTCTTTTTGCTCTCACTCACTCAATCTCTGAAACAGCTGGACTCATTTTGACTACTTTTCATAATATACTGAAAAAGCTAAGGCGTGTTATCATAAAGTTTTACAATCATTGTTTTTATTTCCACATCCATAGATAGACAGAGGGGTAACGTGGCCCAATTATCGAGTGTTGATTAGAAAATATCTGCCAGATATCGACAGTAGGTACCTAAAGAAGGGGGACTTTTATCAGAGGTGTACGCGGCTTATGGCAGGTCTTATCATGGACTTAGATAGCGAAAAATTAGTCAAGTAGAAATCAATACTCCAGCTGGATTTTTCCATATAAATAATATAGCATATAAACAACAGCTCGTGTTGTCTTCTATTTTTCACTTGAATTCATATATACATAAATAAAGTTAACTCTCTGTCTGTAACTTCAAAATAACGGCTTTTCACTAAATGCATACTTGTTTTTAATATAATTAATATTTTTTCTAAATAATAGTAGTCTAAGTTACTCCTTATAACAATTGATATCTTAGAGTGAAAGTCGCGTCAAAATCGGTGCAGCCGTTTCAGAGATTAGCAAGAGCAAACAAACAGACTAAAAGTATTAATTTTTTTATGGTAGTAGCGTGTATTGTTTCATATGCATTTAACGTAAAGCTGTTCTGTTATTTATATTGATAGATACCTCGTGTATCAAAAAATGTTTATTCTTCTATTTCTTATTGTTAATTTGAATGTTTGTACTTCAAACAGAAGATTCCATAATTTTCTGTATGAAGTACTATTAAATTTTGTGTGCTATCAGTCGTCAAAGTATACGTCAGTGTGTACTCAACACTTCAGTACCGTGTTATATCAACTTCCATATTATATTAAAGCTTTTCGTCGCTATCTCAAACTTGTATCATATCTAAGTTAGATAAAGGAACTTCGGTAAAAGCTTTGATAATAATGTTTGCATATGACGACTAGGTATTTAGATATAATATGAAAAATATGTGTTCTCGATATCTTTCAAATGCGAAATACAAGTAAATTGTAATCAAAGTTCAAACAATGTTCTTTTATATGGCTCCACCTGGGCAAAGCATTAAGTTACCACTTAGTCTGGAATTTTCTGTAGTTAAGTTAATCTGCATTCTTTGAATAGATAATAAATGCTAAAATGTTTACTTTCATCAATAATATATTCCTCGTATATATAAATAGTAGTACAGTATATAATACCTAGTATACATAATTAGTCATAAATAGTTCCTCAATATGTACAGTTTCTTGGATTGTTACTATTATTTTAACTATTAACCATACAGTTAAGTCGAGAAGAACTGGCAATACTTAAATGGTGCATAATTAATAAATGCTTACTTTATCGAACTAGATAACTGTATTTAAAACAACATTAAAGTACACAGCCATATATAGAACAGTCACAACTAAAAGTTCTAACATTCACATGAATTTTTCTTCTGAATCTTACAGAATTTAGTCCATTTGTATTGTCCACTAATGGAGGCATTGTGGACAACGGAAAACGGCCATTTCCTTGCGATAAACATCTGAATAAAACTGAAAGGGTGAGGGTGCTAGTCACATAAAGGCAATTACCAAGGTGGCCGATCCAAATATAGGTGTGCACGGCTTTAAAGTCGGAAACTAGCAATTTGTTTCTCCAATACAATATACAATAAACATTTTCTTTGATTTGCAATTCAAATCTGCATAAAACAAGTTGTAATACAAATACATGGTGTTTAGAAAATACAAAGTTAAACGATATTAATATTAGTACATACGGTCACCTACACAATAGTAGGTACATACCTACCTTATACCATATATACC